TCCAACCTGAGGGGCTCATTTTCCAGCCCTGTATTCCTGACAGTGTTTCTCTGCTATTCGTAAGGTTTTCAGTGACTAGCGATTCGGAAGTAGTTCGTCACTCTTTCTTGCTAGTCTGTCTTTGTCTGGAAGCACATCTGAAACCTGTCCACCATGGGTGACCCTGCTGGTTATTTAAAATACCGGTGGCAGAGTCCTCAGAATCACAGCAACTCAATCCACCACAGCACGACAGACAGACGAGTGGTGGCCGTTTAGTTTTATGTCACTTTAAATTTCTGTATCAATCCTGATACAATCAAGATGTTCTCTCCTGATACAATCAGTCCTGATACATGCAAACCTACCTAGGCTTCCTCAAGTAGCCTGGTGATCTGCTTCTCAGTCAGGCTTGAAAACCTATACACAGTTCGGCCTTGCATGCTGGGTTGTCATGATTCGGAATCAACACGTCAACTGACACACCACCAACTAACAGCCCCTGCCTCAGGAAGTCCTTCCCCTGGGGGGGACCCCAGTCGGATGGGGTAAGAACTGAAGTAATGGCCGCCTTCCTCTCTCTGCTGGAATAGGTGGAGTCTGCCTTCAAGAGTCCAGCTCACAGCTCTGCTGAACTTGGGTTCCTCCCCTTTCTTGGAGCCTTACTTCACTGCCCTCAGGAAGGTTTAAGCCAGTGGGGTCGCTGCTGGCTTGGGGATGGAAGTGCAGGTGGCTTCCTGCTCCAGGGTCTCACTGATTCCTGGATTTCTTGGCATAACTGATCTGACCTGGGTCACACAAGGGGAGGGGGAGGGATTGTACCCACTTGGGCAGTGGTGGCCACACTGTCACTGACCTTCCCTTCTTGGGAACTCACAAAGGGATTTCCAACAGAGGTAGCCTGGGAGGGGGCAGAGGATCAAGAAGTGATGAGGGAGTGCCAACAGTATCTCCACTCTTCAAGAGACGGGTCTTGCCTTCTACTGGTTGGAAATAGGTGAGGCACAATTTCCATACAAGTAAAGGTTTATCAAAAAGAGATGCGAAGTGCTGAATCAGTTCCAACTCATAGTGACCGTGTATAAGGTTTCCAAGGAACATCTGGTGAATTTGAACCGCCAACCTTGCCGTTCAACCTGACCTAAGGTCGAGTGCTTATCCTACAGTGCCACACCAGAACAAAGCTTTGCTGGGGTTTAAAAGGTTTGAGGAAGGAAAAAGACATGTTTATTCATAGGGACAGACGGGGATTTCAGGGAATGGTCTAGTTAAGTGCCATTGTTGAGTTGGAGCCCACTCTGTATAGGGTTTCTGAGGAGCAGCTGGTGAGCTTGAACCACCAACCTACAGTTCAAATCAACTTTGCAGTCCAGCACATTAACCCACAGCACCACACCAAGACTCTCTAGGAGAGACCATGTTAAGTGGGTCATGCGTAGCATCTTTTCAAGATGGATTCCACCACAAAGGCCTCTGATAGCAGCAGACAGAACTCATTCTGGGATGTTACACATGCATGGTTCTTCAGAACCATATTTCAGACTCCTCCCGAGGCTGGCTGCCTTTGTCCCAGTCGTTTTGTTCTTTAAAACTATGCCTAGGACATTAGGTAAACCAGTCCAACCTGTAACCTATCTCACAGGCAGTAGAAATTATGGGCGGTCTTTCTTAATGGCCCCGGATGTCTGTTCAGCTATGTGCCCGGGGCATGTCCTCTGAATCTTCACAACTGTTCAAGGAGTGGGGCAGGTGTCAACAGTTCTCAGGATTTTGGTCACAAGATTTCAGTCACTAAGTGACCTGTTTCATCCTTATTTCTGGACGCCATTTTCCCCATCTCAGTCCTAAGGTGGGCCCCGAGTATTCCTCGCTGACCACTTGTTTCTGGCTGCCCTCCACGTAGCCAAGCCAGTACCAGGACTAAGATCCCCAACACCCCCACCCCAGCCTCATCAGCTGGACTTACACCTTGAGGAGTCCAGAACACAGACAAGGTGGTCTGACATTGCACTCACCATTTCTGTGTTTTGAGCAAGATTTTGGCTACATAACTGTGTTATGAATAAGCAGCCATTAGCTCAGCACCTTGTCTGTGCTCACAGCACTCCGCTCACACTCCCCGAGGTCACAGCACTCCGCTCACACTCCCTGAGGTCACACCACTCCGCTCACACTCCCTGAGGTCACAGCACTCCGCTCACACTTCCTGAGGTCACAGCACTCCGCTCACACTCCCTGAGGTCGCAGCACTCTGCTCACACTCCAAGGTTACACCACTCTGCTCACACTCCCTGAGGTTACACCACTCTGCTCACACTCTCTGAGCTGAGGTCACACCACTCTGCTCACACTCCCTGAGGTCACAGCATTCCCACTCTCACACATAAGGAGCTGCTTCACCTGGTCCCCCAGGCTTCCTGCGGGAGAGGCCCGAGCACTCCCCGTGTTCTGACCTGGTAATCTTCGGAGCGCTGCCGAGCACAGGGGGAGCTTCCATGGTCTCTCTGCCCCAAGGTAACTAGCAGTCAACAGTGATGTAGCCATCTGAGAATTTCCCATCAGACCCTGCAGTCAGGACCAAGGAGCCAGAGGCAGGGGTGCCAAGACCAAGGCACCCCAAATCAGGTAGGCTAACTGGAGTGTGATTCTGACTGACCACACAGCTGCCAGGCTGCGATTGGTGGCCAGAAGCTTAGTGACAGATGGGGATGGTGAGGTCTCAGAAACTTGCTTCAGATCCTGCCTGGAGGCTGGACAGGTAGAAGCAAGACCTTGAGCAAGTCACCCCAATCCTCTGCGCCTCACATGTGCAAAAGGGGTGTGCTACCCGAGGGTGCTGACGATGGCAGATGTAGTCTGGCCAGCTCAGTGTGCCACTGCCAGACTGGCTCCGTTTCCTGAGATGACAATGGGGGGGAGGGCACACAGCCCAGGAAGTGTCCCCCTTTGCTCCAGGGCTATGCAAGGACCCCCTTTCCCTCCTCCCTCACCATGCTGGTGCCTTGGCCCAGAACCCCTACAGACTGAGGCAGGCGAGAAAGATCACAACCGGTCTACTGCGTCCCAGCTTCTTTTTATTATTTTTTTTTTCCTTTTCTTTCTTTTTTTTAAGTATGGAGGCTCAAGTATAAGATGTAGATTTTTGTTTAAGCTTTACAAAAAAACAAAATAAAACAGAAAGAATCTCCTTTGCATTCCATAAAAACTGACAGAAAAGCACCTGGCCAGAAGAGCAGACGGTCAGCAGCTTCCCACCCCCCGCCCCCCAACGTGGTCTCCAAGGAACGGGGGTCTGCGCAGGACAAAGCTGAGATAGCCTCTCCTTCCTCCCGGAGCAGCCCCCTGTCCCCCTTCCCCCGCCCCCAACCCCAAGCAACTCCCAAACACACGTGGAATCAGATTTCCAGTTTTTCTTCTACCGTTCACACACCACAGTTATTTCATAAAATTTTTTTGTTTTACATTTTTTACACCAATGTAACAAAAAGGTGGGAGAGGGCAGGAGGGGTGGCAGACAGACAGGTATTTTATGCCTGCCTGTAAATAGAGGAGTGAGGGAGGCGGTGGGTGGGTTTGAACTAAGAAACACAAGGAGGGCTCTGTGGAAATACTGAGTTTCAATAGCACAATGTGGTGGGAAGTAGGCCTCAGACACGAGGAGGGTGTTTATCGGGCTTTATTCTCAGGGAGATGGCGCTGTGCTGTCCATGATGCAAGTTGTTCAATGACCTGTCAGGGAGGGAGGGACGAGGGAAAAGGGAGCAGAAAACGAGTTTTCTAAGACAGGAATCTAACGAGTGCATGGCATGTCCGCTTAGCGTGAAGCAGAGGTTTAGCATTGCTGCTTTCTCTTCAAAGCCTCCACCAGGTCATTCTTCAAAGCTTCTTGTTTTGATTTGTCTGCAAAAGTCTGCACAGACCTGTAAGGGAGGAGAGTCATGAGTAGTGGCCTTCCTGGGAGTGCTGTGGCCAGCTCAGAGGGGCTGGGGGCTGCTGCACAGAGCCCCACTGCCCAGCCCAGTCTGCCCTGCTGGGCTGGACATGCGATTCGCAGGAGCAAGGCTGCCGGAGACAAAGGGCTCAGTGAGTCTGGAGACCTACACCCTCGGTACCTTGGCCAGGCACCCAGGGGAAGTCCCCGACCACCTGACAGACACAGGCTGGAGATGTCCTCTCACCGTAGCCACCAGAACCCTATATCCACTCCTCTGGACTTGACACCAGCTGGAACCAGCTGCCTCGGAGCATAGCAGCTGCCCCAGGTTCCCAGCTGGTGGGAACCCTGGGTCGTGAGGACCCCTCTCTAAAGCTCCCAGCCCCCACCCTCCAGGCATGGCTATACACACCGAGGCCAGGGGACTCAGGCTCTGGTTTTCAGACAAGCATCATGGTAACGTGGCTAAGACCACCCCTCTGCCTGGATTGTGGGAAGAGTCTGTTGTGGCTGCATTTACTTTCTAACAAGGTTAAGAAAGCTACCAAGGCTTGCAGAGTTTTTAGTGTACAAAGTGCTTCCCACACACGTGATCTCATGTGCATCCTGGGTGAGTCTTCCTGCTATTCCCAATCTCTAGATGGGGAGACTGAGGCTGAGACACATGCCCACTGGCAATCTCCTGGTCATTTTGACAAGCTGAGTGAGTGTGCTTGTTAACCAAATCCTTTGTGGACTTTTTATAAACATCGTGACAGCTCTAAAATAGTGGAAAGATAGGGCGCCTTGGGGAACTGCTGGGGAAGTCCACCCGATGAGAACCTCAGGTTTCAGATACACTAACCAGGAAAAAGAATGGGAAGGAAGCATCAAAAATAAGCCCTCAAAATGAGCAAAGGAAAGTGCCTCCTACAAATCCTCCTGACTTCTCAGTCCTCCACAGATCATGGGGAGTATCCTCGATCTGGTGAGGTGGGGGCAGAGATAACACTGGAGTACTAAACTAAGAAACTACTATAAACATCGGATAACCCCCATTTGAGACATGCTGGCATTTTGGGTGATGCAACAGAAGAGCCACTCTTGAGTATGGGACATGCAGGTGCTCACCAGAGCTGGCCTGGCCCTGACGGTGAGGTGCTAGTCGTCCTCCAGCTCCAAAGGTGTGCACAGTTGTTTCGAGGTTTCACCCCTGGCCCACAACCTGCACCTGGGGCGCCCTGGCTCTGCTGGGGAGGAGCCGCTGAGCAGCCCAAGTCTGAACTGTGCACACCTCCCAGCCCCCATGCTAGAGAAAGCTCCAATCCGAATCTGGGGTGTTAGGCTTGGGCAAGTGAAGCATGAGAGCAGGAACTCACTTGGGGGTTAAAGCTTGGGAAGGTGACTGCAGGTGACCTAACAGACGCCTGGAGGAGCTGCTTAACTGTGTCACGTGATGCCACTCAACTGGGCTTCTGGACACCTTACTTTTTAGCCGTTTCCCTCCTCCTCTCTGGGGATGCTGACTGCTTGCCTACATCTGTACTTGTCACAAGCTCAAGTCATGGTTCTGGGCCATTATCAACAAGCATGACTGTTTTCCTTTCTGTAGGTGTGACGTGTTGAAGAGGACATCTGCAGCTCGTTAGGGGTGGGAGGTTATGCTGGTCCAGGGAGCAGCGGCACCAGGCCCACCCAGGCTGCCTTCAGCACCCACTGGGTTCCGCCCTCAGAGGCTCAGAGGGGGGACCACGACCTCTTTTAAGACAGCTTGCCCAAACAGTCCATCTCCCGCCAAGAAGGGGGTTATTTGACTTCTGGCTCAGCTGCACATACAGCCAATTCTGATAGACCCCCTGAAGCATGGGGTGGGCAGGGGCTCCCGTCCCTTGCTCTGCTGGCCAATGGGAGGACAAGCAGCTTCTGCTGGACAGGTAGCAGTAGTTCCTGCCTTGGGATGCTTCAGGAGCAAAAGCTCTAAGCCCCGTCATTCCCCAAACCCCCCTTCACCCCGAGTGCAAAACATCCACACCACACACGTGACACATCCCTGTTAACAGTGGCGCTGAATCTATGCGTTAATGTGGCTGCTCACCAGCTGTGAGAGGGCACAGGGTTAGTGCTGCTTTACGCGGCAACAGGCAGACCAGCAGGGTCTTGGCGCGTGGTGAGTCCTGTTTAGTGGGGAGGGTGCTCACGCCTCTCAGGCCGGGTACCTGGATCGGCTTAATTGTCAGGCTGGATGTAGATCTGGCGCTGGGTCAGAACTTGAGAGAGCTCCCTCTGCAACTGCTTAAACTTTTGGTTGTCAGGGATAGCGTCAATCGATCTACAGAGAGTGTTCCAAGTGGGGGTGGGGAGAGCGGAGACAGGGCAGAAGGAGACCCAGGGGAAACACGGGAGGCAGGAGAAAGAAGGAAAAGTCAGCCAGATCCCTGCTGCTCAGGGGCTGTGGGGTGGACACTGTGGCTTGAGAGACCACTCTGGTGGTCACTGTGCCTTTCAGGGTTCACAAGCTCTTCTTTATTGCAGGAGACTGTGCAGGGTAGGGTGGGCAGATGGAAGAGCCCGCTGGGGCCTGAGGCCTGACACATGTGCACATGGCTTGGACCCTGTCACACACCAGGAAGCTCTCTCAGATGGTCTAAGAGGTCAAAGCCCACTAACGAAAGGAACGTTGCCAGAGGTGGAAAATAGGGGCCAGGACATAGAGAAAATGAGAGCTCCAAAGGAAGCTTCTCTACTGTAAAACTGTAGACAGGAGACTTTCAATCTGTCTTAAGGACTAATTTACGGTCCACACTGCTTCCTGCCTCTCCTTAGGTCTATTACAAGACTGAGTCAGACAATGGAAACCAAGGGCAGCGCAGGGACCCATGTCACAGCCAGAGGAGAGCTACAAAAAGCTCAAGAGATCATCAGCCCACTACATTCCCTCAGCAAACCTGCCCCCTCTGGCTGGAAGAGGGGAGCAGAGGAGTTACTTGTCCAAGGTCACAGAGTTCAGAGAGACACTTTGCACAAGGTCCTGGCCTCCTGATTCCAAGGCTGCGCCTAATTTTCTCCCACTGGGCTCTGGCCTCTTGCTCAGTCCACCATGGACCACGAGAGAGTGCTGCTCAGCCTTCCCTCAGGCCAACGCCACAGGACTGAAGGCATGGACTGGTGAGGAGGGACAGCTCAGGATCCTGGTCGCAGCCAGCAGAGCCTTGGCAGAGGCCCTGAGAGAGCAGGGTAAAGGACCGCTTCTGCATGACACATTCGGTTATCCTGGACCCTAGGTCCGTTGGAGGACCCAGTGGTCTGGGCTCCCTTCTGCGTCTCAGGATTGGAAGTGCTCTCAATCTCAAGGCCGAGAGTTAGGGACTGAGAAGAGGCAGACTCTAGAGCAAGAGGGCACCAGTGTCTGTGAAGGAAAACGTGCTCCAGAAACGCAAATGGTGGGGCAGGAACCAACATCTACTAAGAGTGCCAATAATGCAGCTTTACCCTGTATCTTTCTTATCTCTGAAATCTGGACGTGAAATCTAACAAGGTGGAAACCTCAGCCCTGTCTTACACATGAGGAAACTGTGGCCCAAGGTCACATAACTATTAAGCAGTAGACTCAGGATTCAAACCCACATCTCTTTGGCTCCAAAGGCCTGTGTTTTTTTTTTGGGGGGTACATTTACCTCAGCCCATTGACGATGTCCTTTGTTTTTCCAAAGTAGATCTCATTCAGCGTACTTCTGATTTTGTTTTCCATGTCCTGGGAGGGGAGGGCAGTCAGACAGTACGGCAAACAGTTAGTAAGACATCCTGAGGCCTACACCCTCTTGCCTGCCAGAGCTCGCCTTTGCAGTCCCCGCTGTGACCACAGGGGGGAGGCGCATGACTACTCCAAATCAACAGTGTATCAGACCAAGTGAGCTCTTGGCGCCAAGACCTCATCTATAATTTGAGCTCTGGGCACTTTCAGGCCTGGAGGAAATCAGTACCCAGGTATTGGCAGCCAACTATGACCATTATTGGGAGCTGGTCTAAACCACATCACTAGCCCTCAACCTTCCCGGCAACTTTGTGAACACTTCTGTGAAATCAGCAAGCACCTCCCTTCTTCCACAACAAGGTGGTGACAGGGAAAGCTGAGGCAGCTGCAACTGAAGCTTCTCCAGAGCCTAGGAACGTTCCAGGGAGTTGTTTCTCACACCCAATCCATTGTGGGAGACGGGACGTCACACTTGTCAGAGCCAATGGCCAAGTGGAATCTTGGGGGAACGTGTGGGGGTGAGGATGGAGAGGGAACCTTTGGAACCCTGCTCGCTATCTGCTGGCTACTACGAGCTAGAGCAGCTGGGGCAAGGACCAGCCAGACGGTGTTCGCTGGGAGGGGATCTGGGTCCAGAGAATGCTGAAGGTCACTCACCTCTACCAGGCGTCCGATATTGGCTATGTGCGGGGAGCAGTCGCTCACAGTTTCATCTTTCTCCATCTGCAAAGGATACAAACATACCTCCAAGTCAGGGCACCAGGGCGCCTGAAGGACAGAGGCCTGTGTGCCACAGCACAGCCACCTACAAATGTCACATGGACACTTCCCCATGAGGACTGAAGAAACACACACAGCCCAGAGGCGCCACGTCCAGGGTAGAATGTTTCTGCTGTCCGTGGTGGAATGGACACTGACCACCCCCTCCCCTTAGGCAGGACAGAGGTGGTCAAACTTGCTAGGTACTGGTCGTCTAGGACAAATTAGAGATGACCTACTTGGTTTGTTCTTCCTGGTATTAAAGGCCTTCCCTCCCGACCTGGGGCCTGAGGTCCCAGGTGAGGCCTCCCATGTGCCATGCTGTTCCTGAACCTCAAGCGCCTCATGTAAGGGTGCTATGAACAGAGTCAGGGACACCACCCCTGGAGGCCTGCAGGTAAGAATGGGCACCCTAGTTCTAGAAGGCAGGACTCTGAGATCCCACGAGGTGCAGTGCCTTGCCCCAGCTGTACAGGCAGAAATGGCAGACCCTGGGTCAACCCTTCCTTCCTTCAAGGCCATCATGGAGTCCCTCCACTCTGAGACTCGGGGACCGGTCGAGAGACCGTGGGGAATAGAACAAGTAAATTTTAATCCAGACTCCCAAATAATGATGGGGAGGGGGGTTTTAGAGGTGGCGGGGCGTAGTTAGTCTTTTCATCCTAAACCCAGGCCAAGTCCATCCTGGCCTGACAACAAGACTAGTTAGTTCTAAGGCATCCTCTCTAGGGAAGGGATGGTGCATTCTGATGCAAGCTCTGTGTTCATGGATTCTCTGTCCTCCTATGCTTAAGCCTGATTTCCCCCATATGGCTACACATTCCTTAAGGACAGACTGTATACCCCACTGGATACCTGGCAGAGTGCTAAGCACATTAGTGCTCATTGTTCCTAACGTTCCTACTTCTATTATACGGATGCTGACTATAATCAAAACACAGGGTAAAAAGATCAGAACAGCATTAGGAAGGCTGGAGTTGCAGTCTAGCTAATAAAAATAAAACTGTCGAGAACAGGTGGAAGGGACCTCTCTTCAGAGCAAGGAGAACAGAGCTGATGCTTGGGGCAGGCGGTGTGGCGGTGTGTGCTCCGAGCAGGAGTCTCTGCTGTCGTCTTCCTGTTGCTGCTGTCTTCTCTCTCCTGGAGAATGGTTCTCAGACTGGTAAAGGTAGATCAGACTCCCAGTTAAGAGGGGGCAGACGTCAACAATGGGCACACAAGGATCAGTCACTTAAAAAAGACAGACTGGAGTCCTGATGTGGCGCTGTGGGTTAATGCGCTAGACTGCAAGGTTGGCAGTTCAAAGTCACCAGCTACTCCTTGGAAACCCTAAACAGGGTCGCTATGAGTCAGAACTGACTCGACAGCACTTAACAACACCACCACCATGACAGATCAGTGTGGACACTAATAAGCATGTTTGCCATTGATGCAAACAGCCATTTCTGATAGGATCATCAGAAATCATCTGTTAGAGCTCACAGGAGTCAGCACTGGCTCAACTGTGAACAAAGGTTGCTCCGTGAAGCTCAAACTTCTCAGAGAACTATTTCCCTAAGACAATACTGATGGCCTGTTCAGACAGACCCTCTGCTGAGGTTCCCAAAGTGGCCTCTGCATGCCCTGCAGGTGTCTATCTGGCTGTGGCCAACCTGTCTGTCCAGGACTCAAATGAAGGCACAGTTGAGAGGGGTTATCAAAGTCTTCAACAGCATCAATGCTCAAAATGATCACAAGGTCAAAAACATGGGTTAGTGTCATACCCAGAGTGTGTGTGGTCACCTATTCCATTTAATCTTCACAGGAACTGCCCCTTTACAACCAAGGAAGCTACAGCTTAAAGATATCAAGCAGCCTTCCCAGATAACACGGCCCTGGTCTAGACTCCAGCACCTCTGCTCGTCCCCCTACAACATGCTGATTCAAGTGACTGGGTAAATGCAAAGTGCACACTTCTGTTCACACATTAACTTCATCAAGCACAAAATGGGGAATAGTTGACTCCCGTGAAAGAACCTTGTGGTTTTTAGATGACTTGAAGCTCGTTAAGATCGTGGTGTGGCTGCTGTGGCAGCTTTAACGCGATATTAGGTGCACAAAGGAAACCGAGACGAGCGTCCAGACCAGGGGCAGCATTACTTGATTGGGCAGCAGCAGTCTTGTTCTGTTCTGCACTGACTTTGACACATTGTGGAGCTGGGCTCAGTGCAGGGCACTGGGTGTTAAAATAGCCATGGATAAGCTTCAGTTAAGCTACCCTGACCCCAAGAAATGGGGATGGAGGAGAGTACTGAAAGTGCCATGGGTTGCCAAAAGAACCAACAGTTCTGTGCTGGAAGACGTGCATCCAGACTGCTCCTTAGAGGCCAGAGTGGCCAGACTTTCTCTCTCATACTTTGGACATATTATCAGGAGGGACCAGTCATTGGAAAAGTATCTTATTTGGTAAAGTGGAGGGTCAGAGAAAAAGAGGCAGACTCCCAGTGAGATGGATTGGCACAGTGGCAGCCTCAGTGGGGTCAATGGTAGTAATGATTGTGAAGTTGGCCCAGGACCGAGCAGTGTTTAGTTCTGTTGTCATAGGGTCACTATGAGTCGGTACTGACACGATGGCACCTAACAACAACAAGCCTTTGGAGGGAGACTTGGGAGATCCTGGCAGATTCTGAAGGCCTGCTTCCTCTCAGGGGTGCAGCACTCATTGATGTGAGACAGGATAGCGAGACATCATGGGGTATCATAGGAGTCCAGACCTGAGCTGGCTCAGCAAGTTCTCAGTAGAGACAGCTACAAAAGACATCTGATCTGCTCCTAAAACAATGAGCTCCAGTGAGCTGGAGGGGTCTAGGAGAAACAGGGCGGCCATGTTTCAAAGGTTCTGTAAGATGGGGACCTGGGATAGAAGGACTATAGAACCAGTGGCCTCACAAGGCTGTACAGAACAAAGGAAGTCTAGGTTTTCTGAGGACTGGTCAAATGAAAAAGAGGGAGAGAAATGTTGGAATGATCAGCCCTGGGTTCGTCAAGTCCTGCTGTGGAGATGGCACCCTGGAGGTGGGTAATCCTGGGGAGTCTTGATTCTCAGACCCCCATGGCTGGTTCACCACAAAACAAGAGTAATGAGTGTGCCACAGACTTGAAATGATGGCTACTTCCCACCACTGCCACACTAAGTACTCCACCCTAGCAGAGCGGCAGTATTTGCTGTAAAATTCACCTCCTTTACTAAAACCCTGTTGCCATGACAACTGGTTTGTGTATATGATGATCAGGGAGCAGACTCGGAAGAGAGGAGGTGCTCCATCCACCCACACAGGGACTGTGTGTTCCCTCACCACATGGAAATGGTTACCATGCCCAGAGAGAGGGCTGCTCAGAGAGCTGCTTGCTGGGCAGGGAGAAACCTGGGGGGGTCAGATCCAAATAAATAATGTCTGTCCAGCAAGCGACAGTTTTCTCCCTCCCCATAGGAGGTCAGATTCCTGGCCGTCCCAGAAGAGACAAGGGCTCTGAACTCACTGAGGGTGCTATTTTAAATCAGCACCCAGGGTCCAATGTGAGGTCAGGACTGCTAGCCAAGGGCTCTGGACCAATTCAACTTCCTGGTTATCATCTTTGTGCTTCAAGCCAAGAGCCACCTTCCAACTCAGGAAGGCTGAAACCACTGGATGCTGGAAGATAACAGAGGCCTGGGGGCAGGGATAGATGGAAAGAGCAATGTACAGTCCCCTCCTTGAGAGAAGTGACCCCCCCACCCCCACCGCCAAGGAGAACTCGGGGAATCAGAGGCCCTGAAAAAGACCCAGCAGCGCCTGGCGGGGATCTTGGCGCACACAGACATGTTTCCACAGCCTCCTTGCCCACACCCCCCTGCTGACTCCCCTCCACACCTGGTCAGGGTCAGCTTATTGGCAATGTTGAGCCACTGAAAATAGAGAGCTTTTTGCAATGCATATGTTATTACATCCTTCTAAAAGTGGCTGCCAGGAGGGAAAACATTTTTATGTGCTGTGGCCGCACAGATGTTCCACAAGGTGATTCCAATGGAGAATGAAGTCAGGGCCCAACCTGCATCCCCGACAAGCACCTCTGAACACCTTTTCTCCCCTCCATGGCTCGCGCAAGGATTTGGAAAAGGGCAGGCTATTTTCCTCAGAAAAGTACCTTCTGGGTACACACCTGGAAGGGTAGGGCAGCTCAGCAGTTCTATGGTGTCTACAGCTCGATTCCCAGAGCTCCTGTCTAGGCTTCAATTTCCCTGCCTTTCCCTCACACTTACTGAGCTCTAACTCACTCATTGTGCTTGGCAGAATGGCAGCTTTTCCTGTTTGTTACGAGAACCCATTCCCGGGGCTCTACTATCATCTGGATCTCGGGTGAAAGCCAGCAGCATCCAGCTGTGCGCAGGCCAGGCCTCTGCGTGCCATCATGCTATGAGACAGTGGTCAGAAAGCCTCTGAGGAAGGTCACGTTTGACCAGTCTGGAATGCGTAATTGAACCTAAGATCACATCTATTTTGGAAGATGGACAAGTTTCTGCTCATAAGATAGGATGTAGTGGCACTAGGAAATGCTATCTACTGAGCAAACCCATGTGTCAAAACAGCGACGAGCTGGGCTGCGAACCACAAGATCAGCAGTTCGAATCCACCAGTTGCTCTGCGGAGAAAGACGAGGCTTTCTGCTCCTGTAAAGCTTTACAGCTTCAGGAGCCCTATACAGGGTCCCTGAGTCGGGACTGACTTGATGCACACAGCTATCACCACTAATCCTATTTTCTGGTGAGCACACTGAGTTTCAGAGGGGTGGTATGGTGTGGCTAGAAAGGGACTGGGCCAGGATCTGAAGTCAGTTTTCTTCCCAGTGATCTCTCTGCTCTGCTTTACCTACACCCTTTCCAGGGAGGTCAAGTCACAATTCAGTGCTTAAAAATTCTGAGTGATGTCCATTACTACCTACCCACT